CCATTACTGAGCCGCAGCACCAGCTCGCAGTTTCACATGTTGATTATTTCAGCTCTGTTACTACCTCACTTCACGGCACCAAAAGGCACGTCGGGGATGACTTGGCTTCAACACCCCTTGCCGCCTCAATTAGTTTAGAAATCACGCCAATGTGGCCAGAAGGTGTCCAAGTCTCGGACTGACGAGTCTTTGTGAAGTGCTCAACATGGTTCCTACTAATGTCGTCAGAATTAATGGAATCTTGAACCTTCTAGATTTGGTTGAGGACAGGATTATTAAAATAACCCTAATTCCAAAATGGGTTGATGCCATCTGTGACCCACAAACTAAGGCTTTGAAGTTTAGCAGAAAACAGTTGTACGTTTACACTCGATGTTTGCACTCTGACTTGGAAAAAAATGTCCCGACAATGGATCATTTTAGTATGAAAATCTGTTGAATTTGGACCCCAATTCTAAACCACGACATCTCAAAGGTCAAGCTGACACACGGGTAAAGCTCCAAATAGTTTATATTTTACTGTAGGGTCTTACTGAGCTGTTGGAGACTAGTTGGTGATTTTAAAAGGTTGTGTCAAAATCACAACCTAGCTTTGAATTGTATTCTAGTCCAAGCATTTCACACTTTCTACCTGCCTCACTGTGCAGATTAGAACAAAAACAATAATTAGCAGATTTGTTTATTTGTGAGTTTGTGGGTTTTTTATCTGTACAGAAAGTTGTTTTCTTTTTAAGTCTCAGGACGGGGGTGTTGTTGATGGGTTTGCTTCTCTCTKAGATTTATTGTTTGTCATGAGAGTCTGATTATAGTCCTCCCTAGATGACTGGAGATGAGATGCAGGGAGGACAGGAGCATTAGAGTGAGTGTACACATATTAAAGATGGATGCTGCAGAGGTGATGGAGAGACAAGTGGAGCAGAAAAGGGGAAACGGTGGAAATGAGTGTTCTGGTGGAAGGAAAAGATCACAAAGAAGATAAAGTCTGTTTGGGTGGCCCTGARTCTGGTTCAGGGCTGAGGTGCCCCCCACCCACCCTTTTTGGAATGTGGCCTTCACCAGTTAATCTGGATTAATGAGGAACTTGACCTTCGTTTCTGTTTTTCTTTCCTGCTTATCTCTCTTCTCACAGAAGGAATATGTTTCTACCTAAACTTTACATCTTTGTTTGATTTACTTTGGTCTTTTTGTTTCCTTCGGTTGGATTTGTTCGTGTGTGTGTGTGTGTGTGTGTTTCATCCTCCATTCTGTGCTGACTGACAAGCTGGTGCTGTTACATTGTCGGGACCACCTGTGCATCCGTCCCACTGCTCTGTTTGGGTGGTCAGGCCTGCTGGTCCATAGAAAACACACACATACACGTACACAGTCCAAGAAAGTCCTCAGGGGAAGTCTTCTGAGGCACGGGGACAGACACACACTCACTGCCTCGATGTGTGCTGCCTAATATGTGGTGAGTGACTCATTCTAATTGGCCAGTCAACAGGTGCTGAGCCCGACTCAGGGGACTGGACAGAGGAGACGCCAGGATACGATTACAGAACAAGGAGGCTAAGCTGGAGCTTCTGTGTAATAACTACTGTAGGAGCCATTGTTGGAGCCGGGAAATTAGTTGCTTTTTCTCAACACACCATCCTAAGCAGGGGTGTCCAATCCTGGTCCTCGAGGGCCACCATCCTGCATAGTTTAGTGTGTTTTTTTTCCTGCACAGTCGATTCAATTTTCAATTCAATTCAAAAATTTTATTCATTTCATTAAAAACAAAATAATTATAATAGAAAACAAAAAAAAAACACAAATCAAAATATAATGAAAGGTAGCAGAAGAAGAATAAATCTTATAATGTCTGCCCCTTTTATCC